ATGGATAAATAAAATAATGTTAAGTAAAATTAAAAAGCCGAAGCCTTCTTACACTGGCTGTGCTGGTTTGGGCCTCATTGCCGGCTGCAGTCATGTCCTCATCTCATTTATAAAACACCAGTGATTCACAAATACTTGCTAAGGAACTCGCATTCACATAAAGTAGCCTTGTTGACAAGTTTGGGTGAGTAAGTGCAAAACGCACAAGATGCAGTACTTTCAGTAACCTGTAATAGGCAGTATCACGTCTTTTGTAGCAGAAATAAACTGCTGCAGAAAAATCTAGGTCCATGCAAAATATAACATGTAACTGCAACACTCATTTCAAATGTAGTGGAGTAAAGAGTACAGATACTCATTAAAAAATGTAGTGAAGTAAAGAGTAAAAGTTGCTAATATCTTTGATACTCAGTACAACTACAAAGTACCCAAAAAGATACTTAAGTACAGTAACTAATTACATTTACTCCAATACTTTACACCTCTGCACGTATTACAAACATGATCTGACTGAAAACCCTTTACTTATTCATGACAGAGTTCCTGTGGTCTTGAAAACTTATATATAAATTTATATGAAATTTAAATTTTAAAAACTAACTTGAAATCATGAAACATTCCATACTTTATCTGACTATTTCTAGTTAGCCTCAACTCTTCATTGACTAATAATTGCGCTTTATAAGAGTAATCTTTATTCAAATATTTTTATACAGGAAAAAAAACTGGGAAATCAAGGCACTATATTGGTTAAAAGATGTCGGGAAATATAACTTCAATAAGATTTTTTGTCACACAAAGATTAGTCCAAAATCTACTCATCCAGAGCTTGAGATTTTTCTGTTTTTTTTAATTAAATCTGTACAACAGGATGATTTTTAAACATTTGCATGTTTATTGCAATCGGTGAACACTGAAATCGGCTTCATATGATATCAGTCCATCAAGTCCTTCTTAAATGAATATTATCAATACATATTCTTCTGTGCAATTAATCAGTGCAACAGTGACATTTAACACGTTTTGGCAAATGCATTTTCAAGTATCACGCAGCATGTGTTTTGTCTCATACACCATCTGCATTGCTCTTATTTGAGGTTGTACAGTTCATAGACTTGGATAGAAGACACCAGAGCCTCCGTTCCCAGTTCAACCAGTTCAAACCAGTGAGTGAACAGAGTCATCTGACTCCTCTCACTGAACAATGAAGCAGCTCTGGTGGTTCCATTGCGCTTGAGATAGCAGTATCCACCATCTGTCCTGTATTCCTGCTGATCCTGGCCTTTCGTGGAGCTCATATGGCGAGCTGAGCCGGCCGCACAGGTGTCGGGCTGCATAACCGGTCCGTTCTGAACCAGTTTGTCCAGGAAATTCCCATCGAGGGAAATCGATTCTCGGAAAGATCCAACGCGCGTCTTGCTCAACACGCCACGATGGCTCGATTTGTTGGGAAGGCGGTCAGAGTTTCAGCCTGGCGACAGCTGTTTCCATTATTAGTCCTCAAAACCTCCCCCTGGAGATGTTGCTTCTCCTCATCCGTGTCCATTTTTGCCTTCTTCAGAGGTAGAAAGTCAGGCTCGACCGCCGTCTTACAGCAGCGCTTCCTGGAGTGCCGTTCAGAAGCGCATCGGTTCTCCTTGTCGTCTTCCAGGGTCTCTTTGGGTTCTTGAGGTTTCATTGCGACCTCCTTGGGAGTTAAAGTCTGAGGAGAGTCTTTACTTATCTCCATGGGCTCCTCTATGGCCGCGTCGGGAGCGCAGGGGACGACCTGCTCCTCCTCCGCGTCTCTGAGCAGCTGCGCGGCGTGGTAGATGTCCCGTGCGGCTCTCATGGTCATGGAGAGCAGGAGACTCCGGTGAAGACTCAGTCCCCCGCGCTGTGTCCTTAATGAATACAGTTTACTAATAGAAAGAGCCATGATTCTCTTGGCCTCGACGTCCATTGTGTTTACAATGTAGCAGAATATTTCTTTTCTATTTTTAAAACCTCTGCGCTTTAAGGTCTTCACAGCGGATTGCAAAACTAAAAGTTTTCTCCTCTCCGGGCGGTGTTTTATGTGCGCTCGGCTCTGGTGACATAAAGAATTTCCATTCCCCTGGGTGTATAAACACGCCCCTCCCTTGTCAACATACGTCATATTGGCACAGTACTGAAGTATCAAGTCAACATATGCTCTGTGTTGCCATGTCCATATATTGTACGCCACTCTCGACTTGTATAACATAAAATAAAAAAATACATGCATTAAATTCAGTGTTATTATGTACTTTTGTAGTATTGTAGTTGTTGTTTTAATTTTAATTTTTATGTTACTAGTTAGGGTTAATTTATTTGTATTTCTGTTTTAGTTGTTATTTATGTCCAGTTTTTATAGTAATTTTAGTGCTTTAGTGCATTTTTTTTATTTACCAAGACAAGAGTTGTGGACTTACTTCAGTCCACAAAACCATACATTTAGGTGTTTTTTTTAAGTAAACTTGCATTGGACTTGCATTGGGAAGTCGTGACCTAATGGTTAGAGAGTCGGACTCGTAACCGAAAAGTTGCGGATTGTCCTTGCGGATACAGCGCTCTCTCCCACCTTCAATACCACGACTGAGGTGCCCTTGAGCAAGGCACTGAACCCCCAACTGCTCCCCGGGCGCCGCAGCATAAATGGCTGCCCACTGCTCCGGGTGTGTGTTCACGGTGTGTGTGTTCACTGCTGTGTGTGTGCACTTTGGATGGGTTAAATGCAGAGCACTAATTCCAAGCATGGGTCACCATACTTGGCCACATGTCACTTTCACTTTTTTTTTTCACTCACTTTCATGAATGTGAAATTTGGGCAAAAATATAAGTTAGTTAATTAAATAAAATAATTTTTCATCTTACTCTGAATAATCACTGAAGCCAAAAGCACAAGAGACCTTATTAAAGAGTTGCTTATTTTGGTTTGTTTGGTAAAAAAAAAAAAAAAAGCTGCTTTTTAACGAAATCTGGCAACTCAACTTAATGGCAACGCTCTACGAAAGCGTCATCATATGTCATAATTGCGCTGTATCAAATGTCTGGCCAGGACAGTAAAACACTGTTTCATGACCTCAGGTGATCTGTTACTCAAATAATCATTACTTATTGATCTCATATAATTATACTAATGTTATGTCAATGAAATACGTTAAAAAAAATCATGTGCATGATTCAAGTGCATAATTTTAGAGATCAACTGACTGTTGTTGTTTTTTTATTCTTTGTTTATATTTTTATTCACGTTTTATTTTGTTATTTATTCATTTATATTCGTGATATCTTTTCATCGGACTTATTAAACAAACTCGACTTGAAAACATTTCTGTTGAAAGGTTTATCAATCTGCCACCAGTGTTTACAGTTCTTTGGAAGCGTTTTTTGCTGTTTGCTCAAAGCAGGCACGTTTAATCGCCATATTTGGAACATCCGTCGGTGGAAAAGCCGTGACGTGCCGCCGCTGCAGAGGCAGTGATGATGTCACCACGCACCATATTTGGACTTGTCACCGGTCCAACAGCCCCTCCCCTTCACATTAGCATAACTAGGAAGCGAAGCGATTGAGGTCAAGTGGCAGCTGTCACTCACTGCAAATACACGTTCTTTTTATAGAAAGGGCTTACCGAGCTTTGTCGAAATTACGACATTTTTGTTCATGTGCACCAGGGCTTTTTGGACTAAGAATTGTGTTTAAAGTTATGAACGTGTAGCAAAAACATAATGTTATTATTTTGTCTGTCTTTTTTATTGTAGCCTATATACTGTATTTGTCTAGTTGTAGCCTATATTGACGCAAATTCCTTGTGTGTTTAAGCATACTTGGCAATAAATCTCATTCTGATTATTTTGATTTGTTGTTCAGCGTGGATAGTAGCATTGTTTGTGAATGTGTGTTTATATAGAGAAACTGATGATTTTATTAAAACACTAGGGCAAATCTGTATTGTAAACAGACTGACTAATCAAGAGGACCTTCAAGCCACTGCTTGTAAAAATAGCGCCCTCATTACTGTTCTCTGACAAACTGCATTCCATGTGATCAGGCCTCCAATTAGGTCCACCCTTGATTTCCATAAGCATTCTTTGTAGCTGTGATCACACACACACACACACACTGGTTTCATTATATTAATGAGGTCACCTCATATTCTTAATGGTTTTCATACGCACGTAATGATATTTGCTAAACCTCAACCCTAACCCTCAAATAAAGCTGTTGACATTATTCTATTTAAGGCAAAACATGTTTTCAACCTAAAAATCAGTTTTAACCATGTCTCACTATGCTTGTGAGGACAAAAATGTGGCCTTGACAACTACAGCCAGACTTTTAACAGGAGGTGGAGAGAGTGTGTGAATATCTGTGTGTGAACAGGAAACAGTGTGGAGAAGGAGGAAGACAGGAGACGGGAAGGAAGGGGTGAGTGTGTGAGGTGGGGAAGGAAGTGAAGGAGAATAGTGTTACTAAAAGTAAAGGAAGGAGAGGCGACTAGGCGACAAGGATTTAACCCCTTTAGCTGGCATGGAAAGACATATGGGAATCCTTTAAACGGTTTAACACACCTATCACAAAAATTAATGTCACACACCAACTTGTCTTTAGCTTGGCATTTTTATGCCCTAAGCGTCAAGCAAATCTAGGCCAGTTACATAACCGAATTAATTATGAATCAGGTCAGGACTGCAGCAAAGGTGTGCTAACAGCCCTTTTATAGAAATTAGTGACAAACAATGCTAAAAATATGACATTTCTACTTATTGAGAGAGTCACAGATTAGGTAATGCATCATGAATCCAAATAGGAACTGCTTTGTCTTCTGAACAGATTATTCAAAGACTGCACATTATTCCTCTACAAAATTAGAGATTGTTATTACAAATTATTGTTAGTTTGGACTAACAAGTTACTCAAAACAATTGCATTCATTTTATTTTATGTACAAGTCAAGAAATGTGTGCTTGTGCTCATAGGGCAATTTATGTTTTTAAGATTTAGAGATTAATATTTTCTGTAACAAAATAAAAAATAGTATCATTAGACCTTAAGCACATAGTTTGATTACAAATATGGAAATAAAAAAAAAAAAATGCAATAGAAAATGTATATATTGCATTTTTGCTCAGTTAGAGCTTTAGACCCAGTGTCAGCTTTAGTCTAATTTTAGTATACTAGCTCATGAAATAAAACACATTAAATGTGTTGGTTAATAACGACTACTTAAAAATAATGTGATTAAATGCAGAAACCTTTATTTGACAAGTTTTTATAGTCAATTTTTTATCAGTGATGTATAGTCCTTTTTATGAAATTAAATAAATATTAATAATAAGGCAACTGGGTTATTTAAAAATGACACTTTATTTTTAACTTTACTACACATTGCATTTACTTAAACTATAGCAATATTTACTCATTTCATGATCAATCATTATGCAAAATTACAAGCAACTAACCATAAACCTAACACTAACCCTATATAGTAAGTGCATGTTGTTAACTAATATTACTCAGTACATATTTGTGTAATAACACCGTAACATGAACACCTTAAAATAAAGTGTAACCACCATTCTATGTGCGCTTACATATTTTGATAAAATCTAATTAAATGGTATATTGTAATAAGAAGTGTTACTAAATTTGATAGCTCTGAATATTTTCTAAGCAAACATTTTGCTTTTTAAAAATAATTATAGTAATAATAATGCCTGATAAAGTTGTGGAACATGTTTGTTTTATGTCTCAACAGTCAATGATATATGCTGTGCTTTCTAACCAGAGTCGCGTTGATGGACTTTTATTTTGAAAACTCATACGTGCGAAAATGTTTTACACAAGCCATCCTGCAGTTGGCTTCACACAGCTCCTGAAACTAAGGGGCTAATATGTCGATGGAGGATCCTTTTTTCGTGGTTAAAGGGTAAGAAAAGTTATCTTCCTCTTCCCCGTCTTAATGTCTGTTTTCCGCCTTTGTCGAAACGACACGGGTTTGATACTGACAGGCTAAGTTAAAGCTAAGTGAAGCATCTTCATCACTACCTGTAGCCCCAGTTAATGTCACACTATACTAATAAACAGCCTTCATGTAATACCAAGCTGAAATATAGCTGTGTTTCTAGTTGCGTTTTAGAAATCTGGAAGGTTAAATTAAGTCTACAAAAAGCCAGAGACGTTTAGACTTGTGTTGACTGAAGTGTAAACACACACTGATTTATGTTGCATATGTTTTGAGTTTGTCTCTGCAATTCACTTACGTTAATGTACAACACAAATAAATCAAATGTGTTCGTTGTATGGAAAACGTGTTTGATAACCCTAGCATTGACAGTAACTATCACTGGCATAGTGCTTATAGAGGATGTTTAATGTTGATAAACACTTTTCATTCCTTTCAAGTAGAAGGGGTTTCACAGTTTACTCATATCTCTGGCAGAGAGGTGCAGAAGGCCCTGTCCAAAGCACAGGGGCTGTTTGAGCGCTGGGAGGAGCTGCTGCAGGAAGAGACCCCAGTCAGCCGCGATGAGCTGGATTGGAGCACCAATGAACTCCGAAACTGCCTGAGGGCCATCGACTGGGACCTAGAGGACCTACATGAAACCATCAGTATCCTGCCATAAACCAAAGGCCTATGATGCCTTGAAACATCCTTAGTAGAGTGGTACACAGATACTTTGTACCTTGATGCCTTCATAGGTACGCATAGCAAAAGGGAGATGGAGGTACCAAAAGACTGCAGTCTACAGAAAGGAAGATGCGAAAGCTAGCATTCTGAAAAAAGACATACACTAATGTCAAAAGTTTTGAGTTGGTATGATTTTTTAATTGTCCTTGAAAGAAGGCTCTTAATGCTCACCAAGGCTGCTGGTTAAAAATACAGTAAAAACAGTAATATTGTGAAATATCATTGCATATATGCAGATCCCTTAATAGTCCTTGACTGCATCAGGTATTGTGGAGGCAAACCCTGGAAAGTTCCGTTTAGGAGAACATGAACTCCAGGAAAGGCGAGACTTTGTGGTGCAAACGCGGAAAACCATGGAGGTATCGATCCCTCTCTTATTTTCTATTCTTATTTCATTTTATGATGGAGTTCTAGTATTTTCATTTGTATGAATGTGTATCTGTACGTAGCTGATGAAGGAGCAGCTCTCTAGTCCCTCAGCTGTGGCTCAAGCAGAGAAGAAAAACAAACAGGTCAGTGATTCATTCACTATTAAACTGGAATGACTCTGAATGAATTTATATGGTCACATGTGCTAGTGACATTAGCACGGTGTCCCTGTCTGACAGGCCCTGCTGGGGGCCACAGCAAAGGATCGTTACGCCGGTCTGGAGCCTCACCTGGTGTCTGCAAACTCCAGATACATTCAGGAGCAACAGGAACAGCAGCAGGTAAAAGACAGGAGGTCAAAACGTCTTTTTTTCATTGAATATATATTTTTTTCTTAACCAGCAGATAGTATTCCATCTTATAAGCCTTACAGAAAACAAGAAAATGTGCAAAGCAGATCACATGCTTAATACCACAATTTTGAATCTTATCTTCATTTTATGTCGTAAGTTTCCTCAATTGTCTTTGCTTGCAGCTGATCATGCAGGACCAGGATGAGCAGTTGGAGCTGGTCACAGGCAGTATCCGTGTCCTGAAGGACATGTCCAGCGGGATAGGAGATGAGCTGGATGAACAGGCAGTGTGAGCAAAAAACACATGATATTAAACAGGGTGTCTACAGATATGAACAAGTTAAATTTAAGACCTTTTTAATACCACCTTATGTGAAATTTAAGACCAAGCCTGTGATGGAAATACACATTATATTACATACGTATATGTAATATTTAACGCATTTAAATGTAAAAAGAAAACAAAATATCATCGCTGTCAAAAATTCTATTTGTTATTACGATATACAGTGAACTTTTCATATCAGCAGACACACAGCGGCCTAGCGTGAGCGAAAGCCCCGGCTTAGCGTGAGCTGAGGCCGGGCAAGAGTGAGCTGAGGCGGCGGTATCGAGAACGGCGGTCCCGGCGGGTCCGACGAAGGAACGGTGAAAACGGTGAAAGCCGATCCGGCGATCCACAGCACTAAGTTGATGTATTCCCTCAGCGACCAGCACGGATC